ACAAACACACACACACACACACACACACACACACACACACACACACACACACACAGACACACACATACACACACACACTCACACACACACTCACACATCCGAAGTAGACGAAATTACAGACGGCACAGCTACACCTGGCACTGGCCAGACTGACTGCCATCAATTGGCCCGAAGAGCGCTCCAAACTCACACTCCGACTCATGTGTAAATTTGTGTGACGGCCTCCCGAGATTTGGCTCGGTCTCTGCAAAGCGAAGAAGAACGTTTGCTGGGTGGTTGGTTGGGTGGGGAAGGGTGGGGAAGGGTGGGGGGGATGCCGACGCAGTGTAATTGAGTTGTGTTGGCAACATTTTAAATAGCCGCCGGCGTTAACGAGCCTGCCTCGTAAACCACTTGGCTTACTGTGGAGTTTCGGCCCAGGCAAAGTTTGGCAAATACGTTTAGATAAGTGGCCACGGCAGGGAATCCATACTTGATATATAAATACTTAGACATAATATGTTTAGCTAACTACGTTCTGCTATTAAGACAGAGAAGCAGCTGCCAAAGTTGTACAGGATACTTGCCTAATTGATAGCCTACACTTACAGCAATTTAATTGAAAAAGATTGGCCCTTAAAAGTGTCGCCTTGTGCTCAAAATTAAGCCTGTAATGTTCGGTTAAATTAACTCTCATTAACTCTTCTATAAGTCCCAATTGGAAATTGGACCTATTTATTTATTACAATGGTGCTTATATTTCCTCGTCGCTCTCAGCTGGAGTCTCTTATAGAAACTCTCTCTCTCTCTCTCTCTATCTCTCTCTCTCTCTCTCTCTCTATCTCTATCTCTATCTCTATCTCTATCTCTATCTCTCCCTCTCTTTCTTTCTCTACAATCTTGATCCCCTTAACCTCCCTGCCCATCATTCAGATCATAAAGGTACTTAGTTTCATTTTGTTTCTCCCTTTATCTCTTGGACTGACCTTAAAGACACTAATAAAAGATTTTAAACATATATAAGCAAATATGGTTGTTAACAGATCCTCCAAGTCGCTGCTTGCAAATGATGCTGCCCACTGGGTCAACTGGTAAACACACACTCGCACTCTCACCCTTACACTCGTAAATCTAAGTCAATTTGTTTGTTTTGGTGTCCAGAAAAAGAATATATATCACATAGTAATATGTGCCTCAGACTATATGCCGCGCTGATTGATGAATTGAGCGCACGTTACGCATACGCCATGTGCGACAGTTAGAAAAACGAACACCAAAAAAAAAAACACTGCAATAATTTCATTTAACATGCATAGCCCAACTGAAGCATTGCAGAAGCTGCCGTGTCAACCCAAACCCAAACCCAAATCGACGCCCAAGCCACGATTTTTGCGCAATTTATGACTTTGGCCTGAATAAACTCATCGCTCGGCCCGATTTACGGATTCAAATACCCGTCAAAATGCCAAAGTGGATTTTGGAAGCAATTTTCGTTTTTGCGCCGCCAATGCATCGAATTTTGAATTTCCCGAAGCGATTTTCATATGCGAATTCTGCAAAGTCAATCTTATGAATAAGCTTTATTAACTTGCGTTCATTTTTGATTAATTAATTATATTTTAAATGTGAGCATATACATTTTTATAAAACTATGTATATGCTTGTATAAATAAATCAAGACGAATTTATTTTTAAAAATTTGATTAAAGTGAATTCAGTTTCACTTTAAGCTAATCATAAACCTGCCTTCCTCTATTTGCGATTTGAAACCTGGGAACACAGTTAGGTGAACGTTGTATGTGTGCGTGTGTGTGTGTGGGTATGGATTGGTGTGCCTTTGTGTGTGTCTGTATGGGACATGCTGCACATTTGATTACCGCTTCTGGGCATTTGCATGGCCTTAAATGTGATTTTGGCTCGACCTCGTTTGTCAATTGCATTTGCTGATTGTTGCCATTGATGCAACGGTGGCCACATCATTTGCCGATTCCCATTTTGCAGTGCACAACAATTTTATTATTTACTTTTCATTTGCATTTCGCAATTGCGAAATTGTGCCCCCTTCGTCCGTCTGCACCACCTGAACACCTCTTTCAAACGATGTGCTTGGCGATTTTTCAGCATTGATTATGTTATTTAATTTGTGCGCCTGCTGCATGATTAATTAAATAACGCACAGCAACTGATAAGACATACTAACAAAAATTAGGTTTAGAAATAAAAGTTTAACTATGATTGTAATTCTGATATTCCATTTACACCTATCATAAAATTTAGCTTTAAAGGAATTGTAATATAATTTAAGTTACGATGTCTGCAAATATAAATATGTAGGGGCTTTTCGAAATTCACATAAATTGTTGCCAAATTGAGCGTTACGAATTTCTAGACAAGCGAATTGTCATGGAACCCCTTATAAAAGGGCGGAGCATAAAAGTGCCCTTAAAAGAACCGAAAGAAAAAAAAACTAAGAGGAAAGAATTGAGCATGCAAAATGTTACGCTCTGTTTAATTTTATTTGCCTTTTGTGCACGGGTTTTCCAAGCAAAAAGAAATTCAAGTTTCATGCAGTCGATTGTCAAATGCGGTTCTGCTTGTGGACAAAAATACAATTTTAGGACCCCTCAATTATACGAGATTTGTTGTTGGAAAATTGGGATCATTCGATTTCTGGTAAAGTTTTAATGCCAAAAGAAACGATGGAGATTTTAGTTAACAATTTTTAAATTTATGAGTTTATTCGACGATATTTAAACTTTACAAAATGTTCATACCATCTTAAAACGAGAAAGAAATGCTATCTTCGGCACGCCGAAGATCTAATACGCTTGCAGACCCAACCTTTTCATAATGCTTATAGTGCTTTGCCCGTATCTAAGAAGCACAGGGAAAATATTAAATGCCGAGTTTGGTCAAGATATCTTGATAAACAAAATGTTTTTTCATACAAAAACTTAATTGTCGACCGATCGTTCCTATGGCAGCTATATGATATAGTGGTCCGATCTTAATAGGATTTTGCATATATATGAGGAGCTTACTAAAACTTATAATTGCCGAGTTTGGTCAAGATATCTTGATAAGCAATATGTTTTTTCATACAAAAACTTAATTTTCGACCGATCGTTCCTATGACAGCTATATGATATAGTGGTCCGATCTTAATAGGATTTTGCATATATATGAGGACCTTAGTAAAACTAATAAATGCCGAGTTTGGTCAAGATATCTTGATAAACAAAATGCTTTTTCATAAAAAACTTAATTTTCGACCGATCGTTCCTATGGCAGCTATATGATATAGTAGTCCGATCTTAATAGGATTTTGCATATATATGAGGAGCTTACTAAAACTTATAATTGCCGAGCTTGGTCAAGATATCTTGATAAACAATATGTTTTTTCATACAAAAACTTAATTTTCGACCGATCGTTCCTATGGCAGCTATATGATATAGTGGTCCGATATATGTGCTGCGTGTAACAGAAAGACGGACTTCTTCAAAATTTCATTAAGATAGCTTTAAAACTGAGAGACTATTTCGCATAGAAACAGACAGACGGACAGACGGACATGGCTCTATCTACTCGGCTGTTGATGCTGATCAAGAATATATATACTTTATGGGGTCGGAGATGTCTCCTTCAATGCGTTGCACATTTCACGACAAAATTATAATACCCTCTGCAAGGGTATAAAAAGAAGGAATTAATCTGAGTTAAATATTCAGTCAACATGATTGTGCAATTTTCAACAGGCATATTTTTACACTCTTTTTCGAACTCGCAACTGTTACTTGCTGTCAACTCTACTGTTGGCACCAGTAAAAAAAAAAAAATTCTTTCCCCCTACCGGCTCGAACTCGCGACAGACCGCACCACTTGCTATGCGTCTACTCAGCAGCCACACCAATTTTTATACAATTATGATAAAAAAGGAACTAAAATAGCATTACAGAAAACAGTCGAAATTACCGTGCTGTTAGAATGCGAAGCATACGCGCATAAATATGTGTGTGTACATTTATACAGAAATTCTTAAAGCTGCTGCCCCATCCAATTGCGCAGTTGCATATAACTTTGTTTTTTTCGTAACCGATCTTTATGAAATTTTCTACAGTATATCTTATTGTACCATAGAATATTTGTGTATTCTGAAGAAGTCAATTGCATTTAAATTGCAGCTTAAATTGGTTCGCAATAAAAGTTGGGTTATTTTATTAGCGGGGAGGTGGCGATAGGTATAAAATGTAAGATACTTGACATATATATAATATTTTAGAAGCAACATATCATGTTTGGTGGCTCTAGCTCTTATTATTTACCCAATTTGCTGAAAAAAACAGGATGTCGATATCGATTTTGATCGATTGCTTGGAAACGGAGTAAGTTATCGATTATCGGAAACAAACTCGATCAGTGCAGGCACTAGGAGCACCTACATCTAAAATTTCAAGTCTCTAGCTCTTATAGGTTCTGAGATCCTTGCGTTCATAGATACGGACCGACGGACGGACGGACGGACAGACAGACAGACGGAAATGGCTAGATCGACTCGGCTATTTATGCTAATCAAGAATATATATACTTTATGGGGTCGGAGATGCTTCCTTCTGCCTGTAACGTACATTTGCATTTTGCACAAATACAATATACCCTTTTTACCCATTTTCAATGGGTTCAGGGTATAAAAAAGGCAACAAAAGAAACGATAGCTATTGAAATGATTAAGTATTTGTTGGAAGTGTTTATAAATTGGCAGCACGCTCGCCATTGACAACCATGAATTGAACTTTTTTCTTGTGTTGCAACATCATAATGTACCGGGCGGCATACAATAAAGAACGCGAGGCCCGCGTAATTTGAATTTATTTAATAACCAACTTGTTAAAATCGTAAAACGAAAAGAAAAAGCAAACTAAAGCAGCAGTAGCGCTTGAACAACAACATTAAGTAGCTCATGAAATTTTCTGAAAAAAAAAATATAAAAGAAGAAGCACAAATACAGCAGAGCGTAGAGCAAACCCACTGACTTCTGGTTTTATTTTATAAGTAGGAAATATTATGGTGGCAAAACTGCGCTAAAAGAAGCGACAGCCAACAGCAACGGGCGAGCTGTAAAACCGCTCTGCAAGTGTACTTTTATTGCGTATAAAATGCATTTTGCAATGCCACAAAACTGAAGCGTTGTGTGCCCAGAGCGAAAGTTACGACCAGAGACCAGGACGCTGACACACACATACACACACACAGAGAGAAGAGTTGTAGTTCAGAAAATTGGGCACAAAGAAACGAAACATGAATACTCCACATGTGAGCGCTTGACTAAGACTTACCCTTTGTATAGGTAAGATATATAAATGTATTCTATTTTTCCTCTTCGGTCGTCAATTTAGATGGAGATTTTATTGAATATATATAAAGTTTATTTAATATAGATATATAAAAGATGATTTATAAAAATAACTTTAGATGAAAATTTTATTAAATGCATATAAATTAACTGGTCTATATATATTTATTCAATCAAATCAATATTTAAGTCTTTATATATTTATTCAAGCGAATCTTCATCTAAGGTACAATCGACAAGTAAAAGTAACATACATTTATATATTTTTTTTCTTAAATGTTTTTTATTTATGTTTAGCTCTTAGTACTCTGAATAATATATGTAACATATATATACCATGGAGTAGAGAATTAATTTTATTCCAAGTACCAGGCAGCACATAGAAATTTCCAACACATGTCGTATTCTTCATATATATATGGAGCCTACAAGAACCTACATATCAATTTTTAACGCCTGTAGCTTCAGTTTCTCAGATTAATAGATCAACCTTATGCAGGCAGCATGACTTTGCCAGCTGAGCTTTTTCTTAAAATATGCCCAACTTACTTCAATATCGTTTCATTACATACATCCCCAAACAACTAAAATACCCATTGAAAGAATTTTTATGGCCACAGGTCATAATAAAAGCAGATGATAAAAATTATGCTATAAAAAGGAAAGCAAGGAAAATTCCAAACACTGGCTGGCAATGATTGCACGGGTATACTGTTTGTTAAATATGTAACACATACTTACAACACGCGTTTATTTCATCTATAGCACGTTTATGGGAAGTGCGCGATGCCGGAGCACGATAGGAAATGGGATCGAAATATGTTAGTAAGTGTAGTGAAGGAGTGGAGAGAAATTGAAGCGTGGCTCAAATTGAAATATGTATTATGCAAGTTAATTATGTTGTCAAATTAAAAATATAAATTAGGTACTTTTACTATAAATAATAACCGGATTATGAAAGCAAATGCATTAAGCTCTGGCGTAAGTCCTGTGTGTCAACAGTACGTATGAGAAATGTTTTTTAATTAACCTATTGCTGGCGTTCTTTGACAGTGTTAGTGCTCCTATTGCCGCTGCATCGAGTTAAATAAACTTCAAAAGCAGCACACACACGAGCAGCTCCAGTGATTAACAAACTGTTTGAGGGCAAATACCTAAATAATTGGGTGAATGAATGCTGAAGAGCTGCTGCAACGGATTTCAAGAGCAATTAATAACAATTTAGCTGCTGTGCCGCTGGCAACATATGCTGCGTTTTCTGCTCAAACAAAATATAATAAAAACGAACCACTAGCCAAACATTTTAAATACTTTTGAAAGTAGCCCAAGCTCATGCAAGCCCACTCACGCCGGAAATTGGCGCACACCTTGCAGCCATGCACCACACAACACCATTTTTTTTGTTGTATTCGCCTTTCCACCCACTCTTTTTCATAAGCTTCATAAAATCGGGAAATGACCAGGCGAGCCATTGCCCAGAGGCTGAATCTCTGGCCATTCAGGTGTAGGGCACAGTGCGAAAAAATCATATATACATATATATATGTGTATATATATACACAGAAGCTCAGCATACGGAAATTATAATTTATTGCACAAAGTTGCGGATGTCGGCCGGCTACTATAATATTTCCTCCCGCCACTTGCCTCTTTGGAAAAACCCACACAGCGGCTCTTCAAATTTAGCTGTACTTAGTATTAAACTTTAATAAAAAGTACTTGGCATTTTGAGCGCGTGAAAACCGAAAATATTAAGCATATATTCGCAGCTGAACTCCGAAGTATTCACCTGCATAAGGTAACACATTACCTGGCTTAAATATTCATGGATTGTTGTGAAAATGAGTTTAGGCATGCAAAGTGTTTTCAATAATTTTCCTCCCCCTCTCTGGTGTTTTTCTACACCTACCCTCTGGGGTGTATAACTTGGAACGAAATGTGTTGAGTATTGACGGCGGCTGCTTAGAACTTCATGGGATTTATTTGCCATTGTTTCTCACCTATATGAATATATAAGAGAAAATCGGAGTAAAAAAGTTCAATAAAAGGTATTGTCAATTTAAAAGGAATGGCGTGGGAATCAGTCAATAAGCTTATACATTTATATAAAAACTTCTTACAAAACACAAATGAAAATTTCGTAATAAATTATATTAAGAAAATTAAGAAATTGTTTCTGCTATCCCAATGCACACAGTTTTTTTTTGCACTAAATCTATATTTATATAGAAAATTCCAGCCAAAATTATTGAAAATATTTAGATATTGCTTTCTGCTAGGTCAGATAGTTTGCCCTTAAACTTAAATATTTTTAAATAAATGGCAGTTGGCCGAAGTAATGCAATTAAATGCTATTTCAAACAAAATAGATATTTATGAGCAGGTAAATAATAATAGAAACCAATCAATATATATAAAAATAAACTAAAATAACTATAAATTGTCACGAGTGAGAGCACAATAACAAGCATTTTATATGTACACACGCATATACATGTGTCTAACAAGGTCGTTTGCAGGCTGTTGCCAAAAATATAAAAACCAGTTATAAAATATTATTTGACAAATGGCATACTTCCTGTTAACCGACAGGCTACACACGCATCTGCGTGTTAAATGAAACAGAAAAAAAAAAACACTTTAAAAAGACTATAAAAAACGGTGAATAAATATTTTCACAACAATAAAGCACAATTTACTTTATGCATGGTTTGGATTTTTTCATGATTGACTAAACAAGTGAAAACAATAGAAACTACTCAAATATATACACATGTATAAAGCAAATATTTAATCTGCGTAATTTAATTCATTTTGCATACGAATTAACTAATGACCTAGAATAATAAAGGATTTACTGTATTGGTGCAAATTGTTGTTAGGGCTATCAGGAATATATACGCTTTGAAATAAATAATTTTATTATTATAATTAAAAAAATTATTATAATTAGAAGTGTATGCCCCTACTAATTGTTAAGAATGGTCGGTGATGATTCAGTATTCTGAAAGCAGGAGAGAATCTAGTTCTGTGGAGAATACGTGCTACAATCTGTTGTAATATTTACATAGTAATAATAAGAGGCGATAATTCCTGGCAGTAGTTAGACAGAGTAAAGAGCTGAAGACGCCCTAATAATAAAGAAGAAGCGGTGTCGCCAACAATCAACTTATGTAGAAAGTCAACAAAGTGGATTATTTTACGGTTGCTTAACGACGGAAGATTAAAAAGGAAAGGCCAGTTTGAGTATGATGGAAACCGAATATTGGTGTCCCAGTTTAAGCCTCGTAAGGCAAAAAGCAGAAATCGCTCCTGAACACATTCAATACAATCCAGGATATTTGAATTATAATTGTAATTGAATAAATATAGGAACAGTATTTAAGGATAGGGCGTACAGGAGAGGTGTACGGTAGTTTAATTACGAAGGGGCCATTAAAATGCTTTGACCAACGACTAATGATATATTTATATTAAATGAATAAATATAAGTAAAGGAACCAATTTAGATAACATCAAATGTATATAATACAATCAGAACTTAGCTGTAGGGTGCACGTACATCAACATAGTTGCATATTGCTTTTATTTTTTTTTTTTGTAGATTTAAACAATAAATTGATCTTTAAAACTTTAAAACTAAAATTATTACTAAAAACCTCACTTTTTCCTTGATATTTTATTGCAAATATACTTATGTTAGTAAATTCCTCTGTGATATTTAACTAACACATTTACGCCTGCAATTAAATGTTGTAAATTTTCTTGTACTAAATTGTCGTAAAATCGGTTGTCATTAAAAAATGTAAACGTTTTTTCTGCGCCGGCGTCAGTTGAAAAAACTTCTTTATAAATATGTTCAGTTCAGCTTTTGTATGCAGCGGTGGCCAAAGTGATGTATAGGATAAAAGTCTTGCAAAAATAATGGAGATTATAAATACACTGCTAAAAAAAACACAGGACATATGCTAACTACCTTCTGGTGAAAAACTGATCGCCGGCGGTGCGCTTCGAGGCAATAAAGCTTTCCATTTCACGGCGGAAGTGTGCATTATACTTCTCCCTAGCCTCCATATAGACCACTTCGCACTCCAGATTACTGCCAGAGGATATTCAAAACTGTATAATTATGTAACTATAAATGGGTCTGCTATTTGGCCACTTACTAGGCAACGTTCTTGATCGTATAGCTTGGATGTTGGCTAATGTCGAACTGATCGTTAAACACCCTATCATAGAGCACCCATGACTCTTGGTCCCACTCAACACTTTTTATGTAGCTGGCGCGTTTGGTGTTCTTTTCACTCCGGTTAATGGTGAGGCTAAGTTTTCTTTCCAGCTTATCAGTTTGTTCAAAATCGAAAGCCTTTGGGTAGACATCTTGTTGATACAGGGGAACATTTTTGCCTCGCAACGCATCGGACATCCTGGGCTTTGGCTTTTTGTGTCTCTCATGATCTTGTACAACTTTAGCATGATATGCGACATTCACTTTAGAATGCACTTTAGCGGGATGTACCGAGGATAAGCTATCATACCCCGGACTCAGATCATCGTGATACATAGCAGGAGGACTCGTACGTATATTATAAAGTTGATCTTTCAACTCCTGGGAGGCTGCTGAGGTACTTTTATATTCAAACATATTTTAACAGATTTGGCATTTACAACGTCTCACAATATTGAATTTTGCTTTATCGTTTGTTGTGTTATTTTATATAAATAATTTTTCAAACTCTCAACTTGACATCATGTTTATTATGATTTTAAGCTAAGGTTTCGAAAATAGTCAGATATTCTAATAAATAAATTTAGTTTTTACCAAGCACCATCAAATGCTTTTTCAGTTGTCAGCTGTTATTTTAAACATTTTAAACAAGCCGCAAATAAAATATAATTAAGCAATTATTTTAATACCATTTAACCATTTAAATATCTTTCTCATTAATTTATGATCGATTATCGTCTGATTGCATTTATTAATATATGCACTGAAATTTCTCAATTTGTAATTAGCCTCACTGAAATTGCCGACACACAGCTGGTTAAAGGAGAAGAATGAAAATTTATAACATAAAAAATTCAGCTTAAATTTATGTGAGTTATACGAAAATAAAATAAAAACCATTGCAGACACATCATGAATTATATATGTGGTTAATTTATATTATACAGTTGTGTATATCCACATATATATTTTTTTCATTTTCATTTGATTTTCGTAAGAGCATACGGCAAAATGCGGCACACAAAAGATGTAACGCAATTATGAACCATCAGCAGGCGCCACACACAAAAACAGCTCCTGGCAAAGGACTCGCTGACAGGACATGAGGCAAATGTGTGTATGTGTGCTGCGAAAACATTGCCCCAAATGTTGTGCCTATTAAGGACCCATTTAACAACTCCAGCCCTTGAGCCAGTCAAAGCAAACGACCACATTATTATTATAATATTCCAATGAGGGGGGTAGATCCTAGAGAGGGGGGGCACATTAATGAAGTGCTATATTTCTGTTCAATGGCAATGGCAACGTTTGCTCTTTGCCCCAGCGGCCGCAGACCTTGAACCTTTCAATTGAACTCTAATTTCGGCTAATGAATTACACGCATTAGATCAACGAGCCAACCAACTTGAAGATATATTATTAGCTCTGAGTGTGCCTAAGTGGCCAGCCAGGCTAATGACCTTGCAATGAGCTATTTATGAGCAAAGGCATTGAAATTGATTTCTGTTTCTAACCAACGCAATCAAAAACAAAGCTTAAATTAGGTGTTAAATATAATCAGGCAGATAGAACTTGTGTTTAACAACAACCAAACCTTAATGTTAGCGACCACTTTTATGTAGAGGCTTCTTCTATATAAAAAATGTATCAAAATTCTAATTTCTGACAAGCAGTGCACATAGTAGTTGAACAATTCGAAAATTGAACAGCCTATCAAAAGCATATCGATTTGAGAGCATACTAAAGTGATTATCAATTTTGGCTGAAACAATGGAAACCAAGTTTTAGTGTTGTGAAAGACAGAATTGTATAAATATTTTATTGTTAACACGATCTCTATTACCTAATATGGCAGCCTAAGCTAATTATATACGGGGGAAAATATTTAACAAGACTTACTATGAATAAGTCAAAGGTGTATAACGCTATAAGGCGAAAAGTTTTATTATACCCTGAACCCATTAAAAATGGGTACAAGGGTATATTGTATTTGTGCAAAATATAAATGTATGTAACAGGCAGAAGGAAGCTTCTCCGATCCCATAAAGTATATATATTCTTGATCAGCATCAATAGCCGAGTCGATCTAGCCATGTCCGTCTGTCTGTCTGTATGAACGCAAGGATCTCAGAACCTATAAGAGCTAGAGATGAAATTTTAGATGTAGATGCTCCTAGCTCCCGCGCAGATCGAGTTTGTTTCCGAAAATCGATAACTTACTCCGTTTTCAAGCAATCGATAAAAATCTATATCGATATCCTGTTTTTGGGCAATTTTGGTAAATAATAAGAGCTAGAGTCACCAAACTTGACATATAATAATATAATCTAAAATAGAATATATGTATATATTTATATATATTTGATGTTGGAAGAAGAGGGTTCAGGGTATCCCCTGGTCGGAAGCTCCCGACTAGAACCTCTTACTTGTTTTTATTCTGCGGATTATTTATTATATAATATATTTTATCGAGGAGATATGCCTTAAAGAACCCTGTTAGGTAGGTCGAGTGGATGGCACCGTTTAAGTCTGCTCTTTTTAGCCCATCTAATAACTGATAAATGCAGACAAATATTTAATAAACTGACAAACATTCAATTCAATGGATATAACAAGTTGAATTTATTCTTGAAAAATTCAATTTCAACAATTCAATTTAAACAACAAAATTTGTTTAGAAATTGGTAAATAAAGATATATATGTATATATATATGTATATATATATGTATATATATATGTATATATATATATATAGGAAAAATATGGATCAAAACAAAATTGGTTTTCATTTTTGATTTGAACAAACTAGAGCTAAATAAAGACTTATAGACTTTATTTTTAAAGCTCTTGTTAATTTTATTTATGACCGAATTAGTTACCCAAACAAACGAACGAACCACAATATACCAAATTCTGATTGCCAAAAGTTCTGCCACAACCGTGGGCAACAAATCCCAAATGTCAATCTATTGTGATGCAACAATGGCCAAAAAATATTTGACATTATCAACAAAGCCATTTTATTACACGAATTAGCCGAGCAATAATTATAGATTCCGGCACGTAGCAAGAATTAGGTGCAGTCAAACCAAACCAACGCCCTGCCCGCCCTTGCAGCACGCAAATGCTATCAAATGTGGCTAATTTGCCAAGCCAAAACAATGGCCAAAACATAAATTGACCGACATTTATATTTGAGTCTTAATTTTGCTGTTGATTGGCATCAGTTTTATAGAGCACAGTTAAGAGCGAAGCTGTTGACAGGCTGATCGATATATTTAAATATATATGTACACTTGTACTATATTGGCTTTAATTAAACAATTTGCACATTCAACTTTATTTCAGTGCTTTCATATTCTGCACTCTTGACTAATAAATAATTAATGATGACCTCCCTATCCAAACAGTGATTGCCATTGTTTTCCTGCACGCATAAAAAATTAAACATATTTACAATTGCTTTAACATTAACCACATTTGCAAATGTGATGAATCACACATACACAAAATGAAAAAAAAAAAAAAAATTAAAACAATACGCATTAAAAATTAAATGCTTTTAGGCTTAAAATGTAAAGTGTCATATGTGAAAGAGAAATCAACAACAACATGCTAGGGATTATGATTATTAAGAGACATATTTTTTAATTTACGCTGAATTGAAATATATAAACGAATTGACATATGATTTTTTATTTGAGTTAAATACCATTAAATAATAGAGTGAATAAACACTTTGCTGGGACTAACTTTTGTATACATCATCCCGCTTTAAATGCCGCCCACCTCTATAATTTAAAAAAGTTATGTTTAAATATATCGACTGAGATTCCACTTTTAAACGTCTTCCACCTCTATAATTTACAAAAGTATGCTTAAATATATCATTCAATATGTGACAGACACAAATGCTCAGTGTCAAAGCCATGCGATATTATCGCACCAATTTGCACAACTCAGCCGGAAACTTAATGTGTTGTGTGACAGCTTTTTGTCATGGTCAACATTTAATTTATTTGATAACAACAGAAACTGTTCACCTTTGCCAGGCATGGGAAATGCAGCAGGTATAAGCGGCAAGGATCAGAAGTAAGGCATGGCAAGGACTTTGTATAGTTTTGCAAGCAATTAATTTTAACTATTGCAGCCATTACTCAAGTCCGAGCTAACATATTTTATTAAAATGAAGTCCTGCAATCATCTCAAGCATATGTGACGACTGCAAAACTTCTCTAAAAACTTTGCCGAGGGAAAAACTTGAAATGCAAATGACGAAAGCCACAACATCAAAACTTGTACAACAAATGTACTTTGGTTTGTAAATGTTTGTGTGCTTCTAAAACAAATTTAAACACGATATCACAAATGAAAATAACTAGATAAGAAAATAGTTAGTATGGCGTTTAATTGAAATTTGTTGAAATAAAATTGCGGTGGGATACTTGAGCTTTTGCAAAGCGTTTATCAAAGTAAAATTTGTACCTGGTTAGTTGAATGTGAGTTGAAAATAATAATTAAAAATGAGTTCGTAAGATTTAAAAATTTCGAAAATAGATCGAAAGTGTAAATGGGAACCTAATGAAGAGCTCATTCGCTTGCATAGTAAAATTACATTCTGAGCAGGATATTACAGAACTGAAACCAAAGCGAAGGCATATGTGAGAACATCTGCCTGGATAGCAAAGTTTTCATCAGGTTAATTCAATTTCGAGTCAAAAGCAAATTTTGCACAAATTAAATGCGTAAAGTTTAGCAATTGCCGCTTTCGTAGCGCCATAAATTCTCACAAATGTCCTTGTGTAAGCGACTTTGATTGTCATTGTAATGCTTATGGAGCAAATGGGGAAGAGCTGCCATCTCCTGTTCATATCCTGTCGTCCACTCGCACTCGCTCTCTTCTGGCTGCACTCAGTCATCAGGCAAGCGTAACATAAAGCCGATTTTTTCGGCTGGAAAATGCCGAGTGAGATAATAAATCTAGAGCTGGCGAAACAAATCACAGCAATTCCATTATGTACATTTAATGATGTTGAGCGGCGTCAAAGCCGAAACCAAGTACACAAATCCAAAATCCAAATCCATATGCAAAGCAACGAACCAGAGACAATTACTTGCAGTCCGCGAGCAATTTATATGGCTGCTACAACACGGCGCCCAACTTGTTAGAAATAATCACAAGAAATGGCCACGCTGAACAAATACTTATATATACAATGTATACATATACATAGATAGTCTATATATGCAGCCAAAGAAGTTGCAGTTGTGCCACAGTGGATGGAGTTGGTGCTGTTGCAGTTCGTATACGCTATTCACAACGTCAAAAGGAATATATTGGTTGTGTGCGCTTGCTGTAAATCTAATGTTTATATATGTACATATCGTGTATAGTTTCTAAACAACAGTCAACATCAACAGTTGGTCTGCTTACAACCTTCTCTCAAAGTCGATCTGTCAATATTCTGGCCACATAACGAACATAT